TATTATTATTATTATTATTATTATTATTATTATTATTATTATTTAATTTTAATTAGAAGGGTAGATCAAGATTTTTTGAATTCACATTTTTTGTATAAAGGAGCAATAGTAAATTAAATTTGTAGACACCAGTTAAAGACTACTATTTTAGAAATTCAATAGAAAGTACATAAAGAATCCTTGTAATTGTTTCATCTGCTTTCAATTCCCTTACAAACATCTGTTGACTTCATTAATTTTTAATAAGTTTGTATTTATTTAATAGTAAAAAAGCAAAATTCGTAAATGAAAATGTTTTCATAACATTTAGAGTTTTGTGCATTCTCTTTATGTTCAGGTAGAGTAGATAGTTTTTCATTTATTTTTGGTTTTCTCTAATTATTGAATTATCGTTTTCTGAGTCATTGTGATGCATAGTTTCTGCCAATTGTTTTGGCTGTTAGCAACATTTTCGAATTACATTAAAGTTTAATCCACAACCCTTGGTAAACCTGATATCAGAAAAATTGGAATTGAATGGGGATCACATTGATTTGTCTTGGAACTGGGATGACATGATGACCAGTAATTACATAAAATTCTGGTATTATGTTCATGTGTTTTTCTGTGTGAAGATCAGTTTCAAATCATTATATTGAATATTTAGTAACTTATAATGAAATGCAATAATATTGTTTGATTCATTGTTAATATTCTGTTGGGAAATAATCTCTGAAATGTTATGCTTCTGATGTTTTACTCTTCCAAACCAGGTAATATAGAAATTATCATAAATTATTATTTAACTCATAGTTTTATTTTTCTTCTCCTTTGTGCAGTGAAGTCATGTTATTATTTTTGTCTCTTTCCCTGTTTTGGAAACAGTATTCAACATATTTGTAAATTCAATTTTAAAAATTTTTTTGTGAATGAGCAACATCCACTCTAATAAGCAATTTTATTTTTTGAAGTACCACAAACATGGACGGGAAATATTGATGTACACTCAGTGTATGTGGCTTATTAATGGAGAAAGTTATTTTATTAGATTTGCAAGTTATTTAATACACCTATTAAACTTCCCACAATTCATGAAGTACTTCCTTTAAAATTTCAAATGAGACAGTTTCAATCATTATTGTAATTATACAGTGTCTTATGATTTTTAGTTGTAATCATGAACATTTCTTTTTCTTGTTTTATGCACTAGCTGCAAAATATCTTTTAGTTAGAACACCCTCTACTTTATTTGCTCTCTGTGTTTTTTCATTATCTTACCTCAATTTCTAAGGAGATTCCTCAAATTCACTTCTTATTTAAATGCCTTGTCACTGCGCACTGCATGGCATGGCACATATGTTTTATGCTTGGATATTTGCAATGAAATTACTGCACTAATGTGACAACTAAATGCTTACTGTGAGCTGGATAATCAGACATTATTTTTCTCATAACAAAATTTCATTACAAAATTGAATTCAAGTTGTATAAAAAGCTAACACTTTATTTATACCTTTCTATTGCTTTCCAAATTGAAGCCTATTTTTAGGTAAGTTAAAAGTTGAGTTGTCAAGATAAATTTCTTTCTTTCCTTGTGTTTTCAATATATTTTGAAGAAACAATCTGATATGCAAATGACTCTTTAATTTTGTAAATAAATCTATGTGAATAAGAGTTTCAGTTAAACATTTCGACTTACAATTCTTAAATTTTCCATATTTTATTTTTCAGTTTCCTGTGTGTTGCTTTTGAATCTTCAATAGTATCCTTCCACTGATATTAAATTTTCTTGCTTGTTTTTGTCCCACCTCAAGTAGTGTTTGTGTGAAAATGCCCCTCTTGTGTTATAAAATGTGTAGTGCTGAAAATCTAGCAAAGATTGTGGTGTGCCTTTTGCCTTGGCATACTTATATACTGTGTAAAAAAAATCAAATAAAGCCAACATGACAGATGTAACAGTTATAAAAGGAATACATTTCAAGAATAGGGATAGTATTCCTTAAAATATGTCTTTATTATTATAAAACACACACACACACCACTTTACTTGGTATCTATCCTACAAATAGTTAAGAAATATGTGAATTTTTAGAAACAAACCTAAATATGCATACATTCTTCATAAAAAAATATTATTTTTAGCATTTGAACATAATTAAAAGGTTTCTATACTTATGCATTTGCTAATCACTCAGTTTTCTCAAGATAATGCTTCTTTGCTAGAATATATATTATAATTACATATATTGGGCAATTATTATGGAATATTATCTTAGAAAAAAAGAAAGAATATTTCAATTATTTGAATTAATTGATCATTAAATGCTAATTGATGTTTGATAACAAACAAGTACTATTAAAAATAATGAATTGTGTTTCTTCATTGCAAGCTAAACGCATTCACTTTTATACTTTAGTAGATCAGTTTTTTTCCTGCTGCTCACACCTGTCAAAAATTTGTTTAAAATGTTTATTAACTGTTTATTAACTGCTAAAATGTCACTTGATCAAGTCAAGGTGTTAAAATAATATATAAATTTGTTTTTACATCTTTTACAAATCCAGTTTTTTAATCTCATTTTTATTGTAAAATTTTCTATTGAAAATTTGAAGTTACTCTGCATACAAAATTTGACGTTTATTCTAATTTGTATATACTTCTGGGAATCTTCAGAATTGTTCTAATTTTGAAAGTAATAATTAGTTTCAGATTTTAGGGAAATACTTCTCAAACATTAAAAACCCTAAAAGTTCTGATTTTAATAGAATTGTAAGAAGGGAATGCATAAGGAGCCATTTAATATTTTTCAATTGGTCACATCTGTTCAGTTTTATTTTAGTTTAAAATATCAAATGAAAACTTTATAAAAAATACTAGAACTTACAGGAACATGATCGGACATTTTGACGTACAATAGATGTTTAAATTGCAATGAGATCCTCCTTAAAAAAAAATCTTAAAAATTAAAAGTAATTTTATCATTTCGAGATCTTTTAGGATACTTGGGTGCAGAAGTTGAAGTTGCTACAGACAACGTTACACTAAGAAAATCAGTTCTCAGTGCAAGATTTGTAGAATACCATGAGCTTAAGATGAGGACTCTGCAAATTTGTAGGCCCCAACAGTACGTTGTAAACATTATAAAAATATTGGGAGGTACTCACTGTTAATGAATAGTATACTGAGAAGAGCCTGGAGACATTTCTTAAGATACTAATGAGAAAACTGCTGAAGCTTTTGAGTTTTTGTAAATCCACTCCACTCCACTTGAATTTTATGAATAAAATAACAACATTCAGCTCTAGAGTATACGGAGAAAATTGATAAAGTAATTTATTATTAGATAAATTCATTTTCTGGCTTAACCTTCATCCTCTGATTAATTTCTAAATGCATGTATGGTAGATGATGTTATCATTTTCTCCTTCCCAATGTAGTTTACCATGGCTCATGGCACTTACTCACGTTTTTATAGTGGTTTAATAATTAGATAACATCTCTTCCATTATGAATGGTCAATGAAAGTATTAGCAAACTAAATTGCATAGTTTACACAACTCCCTACGAAATAAGTGCTTTTCATATCCATATTGTATGTTAAGTCACTGTTCCCTAGATTAGAAATCCATTCAAGAGTTGCACCTGGTTTGTTTGTTTCACATGAGCTTACTATTAATTCTCTTCATTTTTGAGGTAAATAAAATGAGGGGACCAAAGTTATACAGATAATGTTCTTCAGACAGTATTAAAATGAAACATTTTGGATTAAATTTTGTGTTGGTTTATGTGAAAATTATTTTTTATTATTACTTTATTGTAAATGTTTTATTTTGTTCTCTGTGGCTTATCATTTAATCTGATCTGATCCCCTAATAATGTTCTATTTTCATGGAAAATAAGAACTTGTCTAGTTTTTGTGTTAATAATCAAACATCATCATTATGAAGTGACCAGAAGTTGGGCTCTACAACCTGTTTCTATTGGTTTATTACAGTATTGTTGATAGATTCATAGTCTTCCAAGTGCTCCTGCTGTTACCACCTCGTTAGTGGTCTGCCTCTATCTCTGAACCCTGTTGGTTTGTTCTTCCAGATTCATTTTGGATATCTGTTCTTCCTCATTCGCTGTAAATGATCTTTTCATCTTCTGTGAGACTGTCCTATCTCCTCCTCTAAACATTTGGTTCTCAATCTCTTTCTGATGTCTTTATTTCTTAGCCTGTCTCTTCTTATGATTCCTATGAGGTGTCTTAGAAATCTCAGATGTGCCACCTGTAGTTTGTGTTTGTCTCTCTCTTTCATTACCCATGTTTCAGAACCATTCATGATTCTATGTTTAGCAGCTATATTGTGAATTTTCAGTCTGTTCCTTAGCATGTTTGCAAATAGCTTGGAAGCTATTGATAGCAATGTAATGCCCCTATAATTGTCACATATCTTCTTTGAGCCTTTCTTGTGAATGCTAATATCCAAACCCTCTTGCCACTCCTATTAGAATTCTTAGCTCTTATCATACTTTGTTAAAAAGTTCTAATAACACTTCTTTCAGCTCCTTTCCTCCATATCTTATGAGTTCTATGTTGGCCTCATCTGGTCCAGGGATTTTCCTACTTTTAACTTTTCTTAATACTGCCTTGAGTTCTTCTATATTCAGTGAGTTGTCTTGTTCATCATTGTCAGAGATTTGCTTGTTCCTTCCAGCATTTCATTAGATCTAGGAGTTGGATTGTTCCACAGGGTCGAGTAGTGTTATATCCAATTTCCCTCTGATATGTCATCTAGTCTGATTTAATCTTTCACATGCATGTGCATCAGTTTCAAAACTTTGAAACCCATTCGTTGAGGACCTCGCACCTGTCCTGTGTATTCGACTGACTCGTCTCACTTTGGTCTGGAATCTTTTATATTCCGTGTAGTTTTCCACAGTTTGGTTTTTGGAGGTAAGTTCTGTTTGCTTTCTTCTTTTGATTTATCATCTCTTTTAGATCATTGTCGCATGTTCCCAACCATTTTGTTTTCAAACATTAGATATGCAGGTTTAATGAAACATTAGGTATGCAAGTACTGTGTATTCCCTATTGTTAAGAATTACATTTTTAATGCCTCCATAAAATTATTCAGACTTAATAAGTAACAAATAGCCATCACATACAGACAGTTTTGTAAGCAGTAAAAAAATTTCAGACGTAGTGCTTTTTAAGCTGGAAGACCATAAATGTGTGTTACTGCAAACACAAGAAAAATAGGTACCTTCTCCCATAAAATCATTTGTGTATGTTTTGAGCTATGATTTTTAAATTAAATTGTATACTTTTGGTGTTCTTGGCACTTCCTGTAATAAGATTATTTTATTTTTTTCGTTTTTACAAGTATGTGAATATTTGGGTCTTCATTCCTTTATTATGAATGTATTAACAAGAGAGTATTTTTATCTATTCACATGAGTATAACTACATCAAGGCCCCTCAATTTTATTTTACTCTTTTTGAAAACTGTGGAGAAATTCCTTAAGTGATACAATAGCATGTCCAAATAATTAATGTCCAATTGTCATTGGTCTCAAATTTACTTAAGGAAAATTCCATTTATGTCCAACAAGTGATAAAGAAGAATAGTGCAGCTTTGCTGAAGTTTATATAGCAGTTTATGTGCTTAAAATAAGTACATTTATTTATTTATTTTAAATTTTTTTTCACTCAGGTTGTAACTTTATGTACTACATTAGTCAAATAAATCAGGGGTCTGCTCATTTCTGGAGAAAAGGGCAACAATGTTTAAAACTTTTTGCTAATATTGTGATTCAAATGTTATTTTCTTTGTTGGCCTTGTTTGGTTCTGATTGCTGGTCCAGGAGTTGTATTAATTTGTTGTTTTTTGTTGTTGTTTTTTCTTCTTTTTCTTTTTAATTTTGACAAGTACATTTATTACAGGATGTGATTTTTCACAATGAAGCATATAGCAAAAGTAATAGCAGTGTAGAAGCCAGTCCCGAGAGCACTCCAGTGAAACAGGTTCCTGAACGTTGCTCCCTCTCCCAGCAGCATTCGTCACCGAAACGCGGAGCTTCCTTTGTGACGGCTGTTATTGCTGCTATTCGCAATGCAGCTGCACAGTCACCATTTTCCAGTGCAAGCAACAGGCAGATAAGGCTCACCTCGACACCTAGTCCTCAGGAAGCATACCCAGGTCAGGCAGACACACTTGCAGGGCTTGGCCTCTGGGCTAGGGCCAGTGGCATAATGGTCATGCCCGCAATGCGGGCAGGCCGAGGTAAAAGAGGGCCTATTTTTAGGGGATATTTTTATTCTTTTAGGTACTAACAGTTCAGTAGGAACCCATATTTCGAACGAATTGGGAGTGTGGATTGTTCCGATTCGGAAATGTTCGGATTATCTGAAAAAATGTACCATACATATACAAACACATTGTAGGATTTCCAGATACAATGCAATGTAGTGTGTGATGTGAAAAAATGGCAATGTTGAGTAGTGATCACATCATCAAGCAGATTCAATTCCATATGGCAAAAGAAAATTACCGATTTTGCACTAATTGAATTTTTCCTCTGATTGAAAATTACAGTACATAAAAATGTGATATATTATATATATATATATATATATATATATATATATATATATATAAATATAAATAATACTTACCAGTGCAATAAATGTTTCATTTCGACTTGTGTTTCAATAATTGGTTGTTCAGTTCTATAGTAATTATAAAAGTCTTTCTTTACACTACAAATAAGCATTTTATTTATTTTGTTTTTTCCTCTATCCCCAATTTTGTTTGGATTATCTGAAATTTTGGATTTGTGGGGTTCTACTGCACTTGTGTTTGCTATACACTTTTATAAAGGGGGCCAGAATAAAAGTTTTTATCTAGACGCCCTTTAATAAAATGAGTGGGCAGACCCACACTTATTTCATTACTCTACTGCCTAGGGCCCCTAGTTAATAAAAGGTTGAGTCCATTACCTTTTAATAATTGAAGAAAAAAAATTTAAAATGTCACTTGGTGAATAGCAAGTTCTTCTAAGAACTTTTAAATACATACAACCCTTAAGATCAAATTTGCTTTCCATCAAAACTTGATAATTTTGATGGAGACAAGTTCCCTGTGGACATCATACTGCTAGGACTCCCATGTAATAATAGTTTGGCACAAGCAATGTTATTATTCTGTATATAATTCTGTTTATTTATTTACTTTTTAAATTTTCACTTATTTGAGTAATCCAAATATTTTAAAATCTGAATTAAATAAATATATTTAAACAGCTGTACAACTAGTAAAATATTTAAAAATTGCCTTTCAAATTGTTGAAAAGCTTTTATCCTTTAAATTGTTTTGTTTGAAAATTTATTGGGGCTTCTTTTACATTTATTGTTATTATCTGGTGCCCCTCTGAGGATGGGTCCCTAAACAGCATGTTGATTTTAAAGCTCTGCTAAAAAAAATTAGAACCTGTGAAAGAATTTAGAAATATAAAAGAACCCAAAAAAGTACTACAAAAATTATCATGTACAACAATCTTTCTCATATTACCAATGAATTATTGAACCACATTAAACATTATTTTTTATTGAATGCATTGAAATGGTTTTATGTTGCAGATGCTAGTTCAGGTGAATTATTGGATTCAGAGAAAGATCCATGTAATGTCATTGACAATGATGACGACACAATTAGCGATTCCCACAACAGCAGTGGCAATATACCTGACTGTCATGTAGCAAGTAGCAAGTCATTGCAAAACTTGTCACAAGCCATCCTTGTACGTCAACAATCAGAAATGGCACAAAATAGTTCCATCATAGATGATGCAGCAGCCACTCCTACAGCCAGTGCTTTTGAAACTTATGAAGAAGGCTCTTCTCCTCTCGGCGACTACTGTTCTGCTGCCACACTGGTTGATCAAATTATCGACGTAGACAATTTGGTGACCCGTCTTCTGAAAGTTCTGAGAATAATTCAACTTGAGAATGAAACTTGCATTGACGAGTTACATGATGAAAGGTTAGAATTTTTAAGATCTAAATACACTATGTATATAATGTAAACAGTTAAATAAAACAGCTTAAATTTCCTTTGTGTTACTTAGGATACAACTAGCTCAAGGAGTTAGACAAGAGCAAGAAAATCGGAGAGAAGTTCAGGAGAAGTTAACAAATTGGGAACAATTAGGGAGCCGATTGCGTAGCGAGTTGGAAGAAGCACGACTTCAGCTCCAGTTGAAAGTGCAAGAACTGGATGACACCAAAGTGGATCTCCAAAGTTACAAAGAGCAAGTGGAGGTAAGATGGAATCTTTATAAACCACCTAGGAGTTTAGAATGTGACTACAACTTGCACATGACATTTTATTATGCCTTCTTTTCTAACAAACAGCCAGAGACTTCTCAATTTTTTTTCTTTGTGGTGTTATCAATATATCTAATACCCAATGAGGTATAATTTTACCACGACCGGGGTTTTCTATGAAAGCAAGATGTCTGATAATTTTATTTATTATCTAGAAAAGTCAGGGAATATGTACATGAAACTTTTGAAATCAGGGAAAATTTTTAAACAAATATGAAAATTGGTAATTCTTACAAAAATTAATAGTGTTATATTTTGGTTCAATTTTTCTTTGTTAAGTAAATATTGTTTTTTACTCAGTAAATACAGAGGGCTGAGTAATTCATAAAAAATAAAACAAGCTTTAGTATTTTCTTTAAATGAATGGGTGGAAACCAGAACAGCATTAGTGACATTTTACAAATTCTGAGCATAACATGTGGCTATATTTCAGTGGCAGTGTACTTTTGTGGTTTAAATGAACAACAGAAATGCCATAGTTTTAATGACGAAACTGAGCACCACGACTTTACAGTGATATTGACTTAAATAAACAGATTTCTCAGAATTTATAAAATGTCATTTATACCATTCTGGTTTTTGTCCATTCAAATACTGTCAAATCTACTGCACGTATTGTTGCAGCAGAATTTAAAAAGTACACTTAAAATAGCAGGAAAATTTAGGGAAATTTATTTCAGAGAAACAGTTCCTCCCCTATTGGAAAGAGCACATGAGAGGTGTATTAGAGGGAAAGGAAGTGTTTTCTTTATACTTAAAAAAGAACATAAGTTATTCAAATTAAGAATCAAGTTATTCAAATTATCGTTCTCCATGTAAACATGGCGGGAATTATTTTCCATCACGAAGGAATAATGAGGGATAAGAACCCAAATCTAAAGCTGATTTACCCTTGAATATAGACTTGCTTACCGTCAGAGTGAATATTTTGTTAACAATCGTTGCAAAAAACACTAATTTCTTTCTGTATTCAAAATTAAACTATTGTATGGCTTAGGGTAAGGATCACAGAATTATGGAAACGTGTACAGAATTCACTTCTCCCCATAGCACATCACTCACAGTTTTTATCTCTTTTTAACATAAAATAAAAAATAAACTTTTTTCTCTTTTTAGAATTTGAGTCAAGATATGTGCAATTTGAGCTCCATGTGCCAACGTGCAGAACTTCAACTCCAGATTCGTGAAGCTGAAGCTGAGAAGGCTCTGCAGCAATGGCAGGAAAATGGAGACCTCCCATCACCCGACGTCCTAGCACGTATTGTGTCTGCTCGAAATGAGGTACAACTGTCTTGCTCAATTTCACAAAACAGTCAAATTAACCCATTAAGGAATATACAACGAGCAATTTATGAACTGATCTGAGGAATTTATTATTAGATCTCCGAAATTGTGCAGAGCAATTGCTTCATTGGTTAACTGTAGAAACTAATGAAGGTGTATGATAAATCATGGCAATAATTTGAAGCGATATGCTTCTGTCGATGGACATAGACACAAAAATTTATCTGCAGATAAATCTGTCAAAATATATGCCGATATTTGCAAACCATGCTAAGACATGTCTGAGCTTGTTTGTATTTGAACAGCAATAGGATTGCGTATTCGTAGTGGTTAAAGAAATAATGAGCAAGTAGTTTATTACAGGTTTATTTGAGTTATATCATAATAATCCATGTTTATGGAAACTTCAAATCTTTTTTTACTAGCCATGTTCTGATGCATTTTGAACAATTCTTTCTTTTTATTACTATTCTTCTATTTATTTGTATAATTTTTTAGATCCCCATCATTTCAATAAGTCACAGAGCAGTTTTGACCATGTTCAACTTTTATGATGCACAAATTTAAACTCGTGAACAGTTGTTCAATTTCTCCGTTCAGTCATATTTTATAAAAAGGCAAAAGATCCCCGATCATAGTTAAATTGGTTAGATTGAGCTAAATAATCGGTACAAACAGACATGTAAGTAAATTCAACCGTTTAATTTCAGAAGAAATATTACAATTTCAATTTCAGCTTCAATAAAACTCTGTGTTAATAGATCATGTATGATTTAACTGAGAGATGTATCTTAGCAATTTATCTAATGATTATTTGGTGCATTTTATCACAACAATAAATTGGTCCATGTATATCCCCCTTATGACTGGGGAAAAAAAGAGAGAGAGAGTTGTAATTTTTAGGTAACGTTTTGTCTAGTTCATTCTTGTCATAAATTCTTATGTCCATTTTGCTGGGAGGCATAGCTGTAAAATGTAATGAAAATAATCACTAACTTGTACATAGCTTTTTGTTTTTATTTATTGCTTAGCAACCACTCAAATTTCCTCTTGTTTGCTCAAGGAGCTCTTTTCTAAAGCAGCTTTTCTTACCCCCCCCAAAGCAGTTTTGCTTTGTTTCACTTTCTTCTTCTTCAATGGTTTCTACCCCTTAGAGTTTGCCGTTTTCCATTTCCATTTCTCGTTCCTCCCATTGACCCTCTTTCAATCCTTTCTCCTCCATTACTTCATGTATATATGTCTTCCAGGTAAACCAGGTCTACCTCTTCTATGTCTTCTTTCAGGTATCCAATTTATAATTTGTTTTGGCCATCTCTCATTTCGCATCCTCTGGACATGTCCATACCATTGAAGAGCTTTATTTTTTAGTCTTCTGGTTATGGTTGTTTGAACCCCAGCTCTTTCCCACACCACTTCATTTCTTATTTTATCCAGTCTTGTTATCTGCAAAGATCTTCTCATAAAGTCGATCTCTACCAACCGTATTCTGTCTCTATAGCTGTCTGGCATTTTGTTAACGGCCACTTGTCTGCTCCATATAATATAATACTTTCCACGATACTGTGGAATATTTGTCGTTTTGTGTATATAATTTTGGGAAGGGACTTGATGACTCATCCTTTCTACAAAGGTTCCCCATTACAGGAGGGCTTTTCCTGGTATTTAATGGTGTATACCTATGAGCCTCAGTATACCCCACCAGGGCCCAAGTCGTCCATTAGAAAGTTTCTTTCTTAAATTTAAAAACTGGAATTTTTTTGATAACATGAATGTGTGATAATAAATAAGTAAGTAATTTACTGACAAATTTACTTTTTAACAATTTTTTAGATCCCCATTTTGAAAGAACAACTTGCAGAAAAGGAATTGCAGTTAGCCGAAATTGGCCAGAAATCTTCGGTCAGCAAACAATTGTTGACAGAAAATTGGCACCGATCCATTTGTGAAGTTCGCCGCCAGTATGATGCCATTGATAGAGCTCTTGAGGTAAAACATATGAAAGAAGATGAAATGATAGTTAATTCTTCTCTGAAATAGTTCGATTTTAAGCCAAGTTTATTGAAATTTGTATGTATGTGATAAAGGGGCATAGTAAATATATAACAAATAAGTTGGCTGTACATAACTTTCACTAAAGACTCAAGAGATTTATTATAAATAAGAACAATTAAGCTTTATCAGTCAAATAAAACAAAATTCTTGTCTAACAATCAGTAAAAAGTTTTTTTTTTTTTTTTTTTTTAATTTAATTAAAGGTCGCATCAACTACTAGGTCATTAGCGACCACTATTGCTTGTAACGGTATGGTAACTGTGGGTTGACACGATAATGATGATGATAGGGGGTAAGAGGACGAAACACAATACAACTATGCCTGAGGCGGGACTCGAATCCGCGATCCTTCGGTCCAAGTTCGCTACGGCACTACTGCCTTAGCTATCTCGGCCACCGGATCGGCAAAAAGATTGTTGTTGGATAAAAAAAATGAAATTGCTTACATTTCTGTACACATTTAGTAAATGTGCATGGAAAAGTTTGTTAGTTTTGTTTGTTGTTCTCATTTTCCTTGTGTGCATGTTTCAGACACTCCAAAGTATCCAGAGTGTAGTCATGCAGTGTCCTCCGTTGGCAAAAATGCAGCAGGAATTGGAGGAAAGCAATTTCCAAAGTATCTCGTCACTTTCCGTGGTGCAGCCTGATCTTAATGCAAATGCGGCTTTAGTTACTTCAAATGGAACTCATAATAATGGAAAGAGTTGTATTAATGCCATTCATGGAACACTATAGTCAAACAGAGCTTATAGTACAAACTAAAAAAGTAAAATCAATTGAATTAATTTTATAGTTTTAGCTATTTAAGTTTTAATTCCAAGGAAAGTAAGGCATGTTGCAGCTTTTTGATTTTCCAGAATAAGTTATAAAATAAATCATTGTTTTTTGAATGTTGAGGGATATCTTTGGAGTAATGCAACTTACAGATAAATACATTTTTATGTGTAGATATTAAAATAGATTTTAATTCTTTTTTCTTTTTGTATATTTTGAGAGACTTGATTTAAAAATAATATGGAACAGTTTCCATATTTGTTCTAACACCCTATACTGTCTTCAGGATGTAATGAGTGACCAGCAAGAATCTGATCTTCATAATTGCATTTATTTCTAATTGAGGTTAAAAGGACTGTGCATTTAGGTATGAAAACGAATGTGCTTGGTGTTCTGTCCAGTATTGTAACGGACAATACAAGAACTATTTTTATAAGTACCAGTAATACAGTTACCATTCAACATAAAAGTAGGTATTCATGTATGTCCTTTGCTCATGTAGTTGTTTAAACGACTTATAGCAATAAAGATATTTGAAATAAATTCTGCTCACTAATTTTATGAGATTGACTCATTGTGAGAGATTTTCATCAAAATTGCTCAAAGGTATACACAGGGTTGTCAGTCTGTTATGAAAAGGAATAAAGCCATCTGTACTGTGACTAGTTTTGTGTATGTCTGGGTAGGAAAAGAATTGTGCTGTTGATTAGGGATGAGGTTGATATCAATTATATCAGAGCCATGTAAATATTGATTCGTTAATAAAAAGAGAGGATTAACAATACTCTATAATGTTCCTCAGTAGACCTTTTACAGAAATTTTTACATCTATCTGGCATTGAAGGCTTAAAAGTCGTCAATGTACAATGTGAATAATGTACTAAGAGTGATTCAGCATTTAACCAATCATTACCTGTGTCTTCTTTATATTATGTAATTTTTAATACTAGAAACTAATGAATCATGGTCTTATTAATGAACTGTAAAAGAGAATATATTGCAAAAATATTCCTTGTGTATTTTGCAATTTTTTGTTTACACTGTATATTTAATGTAGAATATACTTTTGGAGAGTAATTTACTTCAATATTCAACAAGACTGAAGAAGTAATACAGAAAACAATGTCTTTTAATCTTAACGACAGTGAGATAAATAATTATTAAAAGTTTTAAATTTCAGGAGACCTTCAAAAGACATTTTAAAGTATGTCAAAAATAATTAAATTTTGTAATAAAAATATTCTGATTTCATTTTGTTGATAGAACCCTTTGTCATAGTAGAAGATTATTGGTGTTGTTTACTTTCACATACTTCACAACTTACAAAATAAATACATTGCAGTTTGCTTAGTATCATTTGGCAATTTTCTTCAGGGAGACAAATTAATCCATATTCTCATGGAGAGGGACAGGAATCATCAAGATATTATCTCCGGCGTTCCAACCCTGTCAAATCACATTCAGACTTTATTTATTTAGATAATTATGACTTAAGCTCAAAATACAAAAGTTTATAACATACTCATTTATATGGTTATTCAAATTTGTTTCTTGCATGTCTTTTTCATACATTTGAGTAATTCCATGTCAAATTGCACACTCACAAAACATCACTATTTTTAGTGACAAAAATGCTAACAATGCTTTCAAAAATGCTACCAATTTTCCGAAGAATCATGCGCGCAATAATGTTAACACTTTTTTTTTTCTTTCTCAATACCATTTTCTTCAGAAAAATAAAATTACACATAAATGTAACTAAACAAGATGTACTTTCATGTGATGTAAATATAATTGCTCTAAGCATATTATTTAAATATTTAAAGTATATTTCAGTATTTAAAATGCAAATATTTACATTAGGTCGACACATAAATTAATTGTAAAAAAATTCTCATGGACTGATTTTGTATAGATCTGCCAAATTTCAAAGCAGGACACACAAATAACATTAAAAAAAATACTGGTGCTCAAACTACAGGGAGTCAATGACATGTCGCATCATGAAGTCCAAACCGTAAGTATTAATTTCTTAGTATAAATGTTATTTTATTACTCATCCTGAATATACAAAGTAAAAGTGAGTCATAAACGTCCGCAATAAAGCAAGCCCGAACACACACTGACTCGACAGATCAACCCAACCATTTCTTAGTTCAAAAAGTTGTAAAAAACATCCACAGATGTGATTTTTGTGCATTAGTCGGGCATTTTCCTCTGGTATAGTACTAATACCTTGAGCTACTTATAATTGGTATGTAAACCCTGTTGAAGCTTACGTACACTACATTAAACACAATCTGTGAATACTATTTATACGATCTTCAATCTTCATCTATAAAATTTACATATTTAAAAAGGAGAGAGGATCTTAAAAGGAAGTGATCTGAACCTGAATCTGCTCCCTTATTCACCCTTGTATCTAGAATTTTAGTTTTCGTTAGCTTATTTTATCACTACGTAATCTATAATTGATGATAAATTTCTTCTTGGTTGAAACCATGTGTATATTGTGTATATCTTGATGTCGAAAGAAACCATTTGTACTGAGAGAGGCCACCCACCCCGGCTTTCCCGAAGGAGGCTGTAGCCCTCGTTGGCACGTTCACGTGTGCCCGGGTCAGACTTGCGAGAGGCACAGGCCACACCGCCTGCACACTCGTCAGTCGCCCGCTGGCGAGAGAGCGTGTGTGCCGCACGCCCACTCCTGCGGCCAGGTCCGCGGTCAAGCTGCGGGGCAGTCTTTCCGTAACCAGCGACGTGTGTGGCACGCCTGTGTTCCCGCTTTGCCCGGGAGAGGAGCACCGCTGATCCACGCACGCAGCCACCCAGCAAAGGTATTCGGCAACGCCGTGTGCCCATGGACGTGTAGTGCGTGGCTCGACCAATCTTCACGTCACTTTCAGGGTGATGAGTTCTCAAAGAAGTAACGTATAATCCAGCCATTTCGTGTCATTCATTTAATTTCATGTCTGTGTAATTAATATATTTCATTTGTCATATGTCATCCCACCAACGTAGAATAGAAATCTAGTAGTAATAAATAGTATGTTCAACGAAATTCTCGTAATTTGGTCATCCTCCACCTCCTTCCTTAACCAGCGCCATCCCTCTCCCCCCGGGCACCTCTCGGCCCGGTGCGGTGTGCAATTTACTTTGTAAGGAGAAGGGCCCTTCAGCCCGCTTATGCACCCCCTCCCGTTCTAGGTATTCTTCTCCCTTCTCTGTACAATCTTATCACCTACTTTTTTACCAATTTATGCATTAAAGCAATTAATGCATTTATGCAAAATTTATCCATCATAAAAATGTATTTTCGGTCACTAATTTCACTTAATGCCGTTGTCAATTCCTGCATAAATCATCTTAAGTGGCACGTTAACATCATCAGTATACTCCTACAATTATTACACGTAGACTAAATAATTTTATTTCCAATTTTACTATTCTGAGAGAAATAGCTTTCCAATTTGTAATGTACTTTCTATACTTGTTATGGACTGTGATAGAAACACCACATTTCGGTTTATGATTTTTATCTATCCCACTATGGAAATGAATATATTGTTCTTGGTTTTCATTTCTCTGTCCTCTCTTTTTCGTTTCAGTAAGGACTGCCACATCCAGATGTAATCTGCTTAACCATTTGAAGACTTGTAGGCATTTTGTGTTCATGCCTTGCACATTCTATGTTCCAAATTGCATTGTCCTTTTTCGATAGCCTTGTTTACATTTCAAGTCCGGCTTTGTTCCTTGATTAGGCTTTTTAGCATTGATATGTTTTTCTGAGAGACGAGGAGCTGGCCCTACTCTCAACCCCCGCCCTGGAGGACCGGATCTGTAATTGAGGTGTCCTTCCCCTAGGGAGGCTGGTTTCACTACCCCTTGGTTTTCCTTCCCTTCGCCCAAACGCCCCCGTTTTAAGGTGCGGGAAACCCGCCCTTAAGCTGGCTTTACACTTGCAAGAAAATGGCGAGCAATATTATTTCGCAAGAAAAGTTGCCAAT